TTGGCATATGACGTTTAATCGGAAGTAAGGTTGCAACTGGGGCCGAGTTGGCTCGAACCCAACCCTAACCCAACTTGAAAAAGTTGGGCCGGGTTGATGTTCGGGTTAGGGTTAGGGTTGAAATTCATGAACCCGACTTTACTTCAGGTTGGGTTAGGATTGACCCCTTAGCCAACCCGACTCTATAGTACATGTCATATATAAATATATGTTATATGTAATATATAACATACATTGATTTGTTTAGATTCATGATATTTGTATAGCCCCCACCACATAGTATCATGTATCTCTTTTAAGATAATCACTCCACTTAATCCTAATCAGGAAAACTAAAACCTTAATAACATTATTTTATGTTTTTTGAAAATTTTATTCTTCACCTCCCCTATGTTGTTTGTCGCCCAAGAAAGATCTATAAGTCATAACTCATAATAAACTATAGTTATTTTTAACACTTGTCTTTTTGAATTTTGTACCAAACGAACAAATACTAATGAAACATAGGATTAATATATGTAGTGAATGTTGAGTTAAGATCTAAAATCAAGAAATTCTATGAGGTCTTAGGGGATGGGAAGAAGGTTAAAGGAATTTAGTTAGGGTTGGGTTAGGGTTAGGGTTGGGTTTAGAACTTTAGGTTGGGCTAGGGTTGACCTCAACCTGACCTAACCCGACCCGACTTGCAGCCCTAATCGGAAGTAGAAGTGTGGAACTCTAAGTACACTATGTTTTCCCAACCACCCCTTAAATGGAACAAAATAATTGAATTGATCCACACTGTGTCCTGTGAACATTACCCCTAGTCTTGGTAGAGAGTTTAGGCTATGTTTGGCTTGAAGGAAATGTAAGGGAAAAAAGGAAGGAAAAATGTAGGTTTTTCCTACTTTTTCCTTTAAACGAAAAACAGCTTTAGAGGCCATGTTTATAATTTTTTTTTTCAATATCACCAGTGAGGGTTTATTTTGAAATAATCTCAATCAAAACCCAACCTACTGCCCAAACTAATTACTTAACCCAACCCACAACATCCTTACTCAACGTATCTATTAGTTTCACTTTCAAGTGAAATTTTGGTAGAAACAAGTCACAATGACGTTTTAAAAATAATATTAATACATAAAAATAAAGCTATATTTTTTCTCCTCAAACCCAAATTAAATCATCTATATTTATACCTTGGTTTTCAAAATCGGACTAGAGTGGATGGTCAAATCGGAAAAACCGGGAACTGGCCAGGTTTGTTTTACCCCAAAACCATTGATTTGGTCAGCAAACCACTTACCCCGGTGGTCAAACCGTTCGAACTGTCCAATAGTCTGCCTTTTTTAATTTTAATTAATTATTTTTTTTTTTTTGTTAAAACGAGTCATCCATTCGGTTCAAATGGTCGGACCATTCGACCCGAGAACCAGACCCCTAACCAGTTTGGTTTTAAAAACCTTGATTCATACTATGTAATGCCAACACTCGCCTTAGGTTATGTTCGATAAACCTGAAGTTTAATGTCTGAAAGTCAAAAAGTTATTATTTGGGCCTAAGATCTTAGAAGAAGTAGAAGTGATTTTTTGCTTTTTATAGGCTCTAAAAAGATAAGATTGTTTAAGTTGGAGCAATCTCTAACATGAAGTTTACTATTTTACCCTTAAAATTAAGTAGCATATTTGATAATATTACAAATAATAAAAAAGAATACTAAATAAAAATATTATTATATTAATAAACAAATACTATGGTTTGTTAAGATAAATAATTATTTATTATTGAAATATTAATAAATTAATAAATATTATTATTACTATTACTATTACTATTACTATTAAATAATATTTACTATTATTATTTAATATTATTAAATAGGTGATGGTAATGAGGGCATTAACATTATTTCATCACCTCTGAAAGGCATCTCATTCTAGTAAGACATGAGACTGTGTCTTACCATTTCAGTTATTAGACATTAGAAGTAGATGTGATCTCAAATGCCTCTTACCTCCGAAAATCAAGTTTTTCAAAGGTTAGATGTCTTAAAATTGGTATCAAACACAATCTTAGTTCTGTGTTGTCCTTAAAATTTAAATCATAATATTTTAATAACATTAGATAATGGAGTACTTACAAATAATAAATGTTTTAATATTTTAGGGTCCATTTGGTTCGCAGCCAGAATCGAAATCAAAATCCTCTGGAAATTAGAATCGAAATGGTATATTCCCATAGTCTGTTTGGTTCAAATAGGAATGGGAATAAAAATTAAAATCAGCAGGAATGTGATTTCATTCCCAAGAGAGGGGCAAGGAATGACCATTCCCTCAAATGGAGGAGTGCCATTCCAGCAAGAATAGGAAAGGGATTCCAATTCTGCTCAACTAAACAGTTGGAATTGGAAATAGCCCATTTTGATTTCGATTCAGTACCCCTATTCCTATGAACCAAATGGGGCCTTAATCTTTAAGTCCAATTAATAGGAACATTAAAAATAAAGTGAAAATCTTTAAAACTCGCAATGTCTTTTACCTTATGACATGCATAGTATGTAGGTGGGTCATACATCTGATGTGTACTTGCAAGTAAACCCATGCAATGCATGGGGTTGAATGGAAAACTTGTTAGGCTTCAGTCGACAACTTTGGGTTTTGAAATTAGTTTGGTTATAGGCCAAGGTCCATGCTTAGGGTTGGTCTTGACCAAACCCATCTAATTTATATCCATGCTTCACCAAAGAGTGTCATAAGGGTCCAGGATATTAAAGAGGAAATAAGGTTGTGTTTAGTTTGAAGCCTTTCCCTACTTCTACCTTCAAACCAAACATAGCCCAAGGCTCAATTTGGATGGAGTGCAAATACAAATATATACAGTACAAATATATACAAAATAATATAAAATATAAGGTTTTGCACTCTACATATTTGTATTTGTACTCCTTCCAAACTAAGCCTAAGGGATTTAATGGGAGAAGGGAGATGTTACAAAACATTTACTACTAGATGATCTAGGCTAAGAGTCCTTGTTTATGGTGGGTCTTGACCCAACTATCTAATTTTATGCCCCTGCTTTATTAGAGTCAAAAGAGGACCAACTTATCTAATTTATACCCATACTCTCTTAAGAGGGTCAAAAGATATTTAATAGGAAAGAATGAAGTTGATTGGGGGACCTATCATTAGAAAAAATTAAAATTAAAAAATAAGAAGGTTTTCACTGTGACATTATATTTTTCAATAAGTTTGAAAATAGATAACCACATATATGATGAATGAGAAGAGAAAGAGGTCAATGTAAACTTTAGAGATTTGCTCCTAATAAATATTCCAAACACTATCCCAACAAGCCATTAAAGTCATACATCCGGAACATCTCTCCATGAATGACAAGTGAGATGTTCCCAACGTACAATTGGAGTGATCTGTTGGGATAGTGTTGAGAGCATTTTGTTGGTGGCAAATCCCTACCCCTCCTCTTTCTATTAAATATAATAGTAGAGAATGACCCACATACTAAGCATGGGGTAACTAAATGCATGTATAATTTAGTTTGAAGTTTACTATTTAGTTATCAAAAATTAAAAAAACTAATATGGGTTTTGCATCTTTGTAATTGACAATCTATTCTAACATATTTTATTTGAAACCCATTATTAATTTGTGTTTTTTTATTTTGATATAAGATATTAAATAAGATCTTATTAGTAAACAATAACCCACTTTATTTGGTATTTACTATTTATCTGATAAATCAATTTTGAGTTATTTATTTTTAAAAGTTAAATTAGGTTGCTTCCTAAAAGTTAAATCAAGTTTGTAATTAATAAATTATTTTCTTTTTGAAAAAAAAATCATTTAAAAATAAACTTGGGTTTATAGTAATCTTTTAATGGGTCCCACCATTTGTATTTAATAGACTATGGATAAACATGTGTTAAGCTAATAAATAACTGTCTATTGAGAATGTTTAGGAGTTAAACTACCCACTCTTTGAATCTTATTTCTTGAATTAATAGGATGCACGTGTCTAAATGGTGCTAATGGATTGTGATCTTTAGCAGCAATTTTTTAAAAAATGTCATGTGTCTAGCTTTCCAGAAAAAATGAGAAGGCCACATGTCTGAATGGTGGGATGTTGTAGCTTAGTAGTAGGCTATGGGGTTTAGTAGTAATTTCTCAAAAATGCCACATGTCTAGCTCTCCAAAAAATGAGAAGGCTACTTGTTTGAATGGTGATAGTGGGTTATGGGCTTTAAAAGCAAATTCTCAGAAAATGCCACATATATAGATTTCCAAAAAAATAAAAATTCCAGTGCGATGGGAGGGCTGTAACCTGAAAACCTTCTTTTAATATATATATATATATAAGATTTTCATTCTCACTTTTTGCTATAAGAATATATTAGATTTTGATGATTGAAGACGTGGACAATTCAAAATCTCTTTTATCCAATGGGTGGTGGAGAATGGCTACGTCATCATCCAATGGAAACGTGATAGGTGGTTGGCCTAATTAATCAACAAAGATTTAGGCGATGGGCTGGTCTGGGTTTATAGTCAATCCAACCTCAACCCTAAGATTTGAATCTAAGGCCTAAGACCAAGCTCAACCTTCCCAATCCGAGCCCAACCTAAGACGTGGCCAATTCAAAATGCCAGTGTCTGAATTTTGATTGGCCTTAGACCCAGGTCTGATTCATTAATAAATTCACGTTAAAATTATACGTGTATGTATGCATTTATACTAATCTTGTCTATATATATATGGTCAGACCAGGCTCGGATTGGGACAAGATTAGGCTGGACTCAGGCTAGGATCGAAAATCTAGTACCAGCCCATATAAAATTTTGGACTGGTAGGTCCGGACTCGGATTGGGCCGTCCAAGTTGCACCCCTGTATTTCCGGATGTACCGATGTGGGACCAGTTTACCTTTGCTAAGTGGGGTCTACGCCTGCTGCGTATTGCACTATAAACTCAACGGGCGGCTTGGGTTGGTTGGCACTATTCGCTGGGGACAGTAGTCATCAAGATTGAAGACTGGATGTCTGTGGCTCTGCAAGCTGCCGCGAAAACGCTGCGTCGCTTTGAATAAGAAATGTGAGCCAACGAGATGCGTTGCTTTAAAGCTCAATCGCAATCGTAGTCGCTGGAGGAGTGAGAAAAAAAGAAGAAGAGAGAGAGAGAGAGAATTTGAGAGTGATCGATAGAGTGGGAGACGTGTTCCCAATTTGGTCCGTGTAAAAATGGAGGACGAAGGGAAGAACACGAAACACCAAAACACTACCTCATTTGATTTCTCCGGTTATTTTCCTTATCGGTTTTCTTGTTCATAGAGGTTGGTTTCTTCTATTGGTTCTGCTTCTCCGTTCTTGATCTGTCATGGCTGAGCAATCTTCTTCATTTAGTCGGAACTCGACCGAATTTGATGATGTCGAAGAGTTTGTCTGGGTGAGCTCTTTGCTGCTTTTAGAAAAGATCACGCTTTTGTCATCTTAGTTTTTGTTCTGGTGCTTGTATCTGAAGGAAGGAATTGTACTAAAACGCAGGCAAGTGAAGGGGAGACTAACATGTCATGGGACCGGTTTGGTCAAGTTTTTGATCTCATGCAGAAGGGGAATAGAGCATTCCGAGAGGGACGAATCGAAGATGTGAGATTCTGAACTTTTTTAGTAGAACTTGGTTTGCTATCAATTTCTGTAGCGATATTCCTTCCATCTGCTGTATTATTTTCGTGTAGCTCTCGTGGACAGTTCCTTTTAGTCAAGAAATGTTTTCAAGATTAAAATTCGCTAATTTGAACACGTTATCGTAGTGATATGAGCTCAAAATTGATAACCGCGAAAATATACAACCAAAGTTGTAGACTAGAAACTTTCAATTAGATGGAAATTATTGAGGACCAGGCGGTAGCACATGCTACTCAACAAGTAATTATGAAATTGCATCTTGTCTTTGCCATGGGATCCAAAAAATGCAACACCAAATAATTCTTGTAAATGCCCAAGTTTTTGTCTTCCTCCTTTCTTCTTAATTAAGCCAGGATAATAACATCAGTCATGCATTTTTCATCTTTTTGTAGGCAATTTCTCTTTGTATTGGACTAGGGTCCATGAATAAACTAGTTATGGTTGGAAAGAAGCTCCCCCCAACATCAGTCATGCATTTTTCATCTTTTTGTAGTCAACTTCTCTTTGTATTGGANGTCATGCATTTTTCATCTTTTTGTAGTCAACTTCTCTTTGTATTGGACTAGGATCCATGAATAAACTAGTTATGGTTGGAAAGAAGCTCCCCCCACCCCCCCCCCCAAAAAAAAAAATTAAAATAAATAAATAAATAAATAATAATAATAATAAATAAAATAAAATAAAATAAAAAGAAGATAATGTAACTGATGAGGAGCCAAAAAGGACGTACACTGCACCGTTGTACTTCCTAAACCACCATCAAGATAATAAGGATCTCTGGATTCACACTCACAACTAATATGCTTCCTTCCATTTACATCCTGAAAAATAGAAAATGAAGGATAAAATGTAAAGGAACAATTTTGGGACTTGGTTAGCTTGCTAGTATAAATTATGTTGGTAATTGAGTAACAGAAAATACAGAAGAAAAAAAAAAAAGAAAATGGGAGGTGGTATTTACAGTTCCAATTCTTGGTACTGAGGAAAAAGTACAGTTAGCTAGTCTAACACATTTAGGAGAAGAGAACATAGAATGAAGATGAGAAGACAAAACTGGAGTACCATACTGCTCATATGGTCTAGTGCACATTCACTAATTGTCAAGCGACAAGGCACCCATGGAGGGTAGTTTCGCTTAAGTGCCCAGCTGTTTAATACACGGTGCTTTAGAATATTTTTATTCTTTATTTTTTGGCCAATGTATGTGAATCTTGACATAGTCATCAGTAAAGAGCTTTTCTAGTTTGTTTTTTGCCTTCTCCTCAGTTCTGTTATATTTTTGTATGATTGCTAGCTGATTGGATTTCTAATTCAGGCAATCAGTTATTACTATAAAGCTCATAATTTCAAGCCTGGTGATCCTGTTATTCTTAGCAATCGAAGTGCTGCTTTTAGCAGGCAAGTTTTTTCTTTCAGCATTGTCTGCTTTTCTTATTGTAGCCTGTTAATGCTTGTACTCTTCTTGCAGTAAATTTTAATACATATTTGTAGAACCATGAAGCTGAATAATAGATACTAAAGCAATTGCATGGATTTTTCAAGCTGATGATATCTTCCATTACCAGGATGTGTGAACTTCTTAAAAAAAGACCTGCTTCCACTTCTGAATATAAACCATTGAATGGTTTGGATCCAACTACACATGCTGAGGTCTGCATTATTGATTCCTTCTTTACCTGTGTACTTTGCTGGGGGGGGGGGGGTTTTGGTTTTTTTTTTTTTTTTTCTATTTTATAACCACCGCATGCTATCTAAACTCTTCTCCTTTGACAATCATTTCAGCTTGCCTTGAAGGATGCTGAGAAGGTGATGAGCTATCGAAGTAATTCACCAAAGACGTACTTTCTGAAGGCCAATGCTCTTATATTGGTAAAAGCTCCAATTATCAATCTCTTTAATGTCTTTATGAGAGACTTGACTAACCTTTCCAAAATCTCTCTCTCTCTCTCTCTCAATATGTATATCCTTCTCATAGGAGTAAAAAAAAACTTACTTGCTCATTGTCTGATGATGAAGTCCATAGGCAATGTTTGTACATGGGAAATGTTGGATAGTGTAAACCTTCAATTGATATTGATATATTTCTGGATAGAAAGGAACAATAGGATTTTTTAACAGAAACCCAGGTCTGAGTCTGGGGTGATTAACTTTGTAGGGGAAAAACCGAGAAGCTGGTTGTCTAGCTCTGATTTGTTTAAAGATGTTTTTTGTTCCAGGTCTTTTTTGAGGGTGAACTTTTTTGGGGGCTTTAAGGTTGTTTGTATAGCCTCTTGTACAGGCTTTTTACAGTTTCATACTGAATACAATACTTTACCTTTAAAAAAAAGATATATTTCTATTTCTCTGAAAAAAGGAAAGAAGGAAAACAGAAAAAGAAAAAAAAAATAGAAGAACAAGAAAAAGGTGATAGATGAGACTTATAGATGTAATGATGAGGACACAGGATGATGGATCTACTGGTCAGTTAAATGAGCTTGTGGATGTTAAGGAGACAATGATAATGTTTCTCTTTTTCTCCCTCTCAATATGCATAGGGTGCCTTTTGGAGCTGGGGGTATTTTTTGATAATAAATAGAAAGAAATTTTATTAAATGAAAACAAAGTACAAAAAATTTTGAGAAAATACTCTGCATCAATCCATCATCTATCTTTCCAATACAATCATTTCAAGACCAACAAACCAAGCCTCACTAAAACATGACCTTTTGAACTAAAATAAAATTCTTCAACATAAAGAAAAACTGGATACAATTGTAATACTCTCTTAGTCTCTTTTCATTAATGAATCATTATTTTCATAAAGTCAACCTTCACCAGGTAACATCTCACTTAATTTCCACCTCAACAAATAGATTAAATTCCATCAAACAATAGCAGCTGTCACCCAATTCATTTTATCACCTCCACCTTCACCCTCAAACTTAATTGGTTAAAGTATTTCTCTTCTTTATAAATTTCTTGCTCCTTCCCTTCAACAATTCTACAAGTTCCCTATTTTCTTCCTCATTGTTTCTCTATGTATAACCTCAATTCTAGTTCTACTCCCATATCCTTTCTCATCATCTCTATGTCTCCTCTAATCCCAAAACATCCATCCAACTACCCTATCGTCCTGATAAAGCCTCTCCTCTCTTGTCCATTAAAGAAAACCAATCACCCTCTTTTCCTTTAACTTCTCTTTGTGTTTCTTCCAACTCCTTCTATCTCTTTCGTCGAACTCCATAAACACTTCTTTACTCTCTATTTGTGCTTTGACCTGGGGATATATCTAAATACCTTAGGCTTCTTCACCTTGTAGTTGCTGCCAAGATTTCAAAGTTCACTTGAAATAGAGACCCCTTTTACGGAGGCTATCTTCCCAATTTTAGGAATTATATGGCATTTTGCAATTGTGGAGGGGTATGCTTCTAAGTTCATGCAACATCAGAAATGAAGTCAACAAAGTTTTAGTATAAATGATGTTAAAACATATCATATGTTTTATTTGTGTTTTAGATGTATGTGTGAATATTATATTGATCACACTCATGCACTTCTGGTACTTGTATGTATGGTAGAACTCAGATCAACTCAACCAAGCCTTGTCCCAACCGTACAAAGTCGGCTACTTGAATCTTGCGATGATGGAGTATCTCCATAGTTTTGGTGCATGGTTGGAAGCTTTAATAGTTGATTTGGTTACCAAATATTGAATTTATGTAAATTGTGAGGTGATCTAAGTCCATGTGAACTTTCTTTTGATGATTCTATGGAATGTATTTTGTCTTCCTAGAGGTTACTGAAAATATGCATGGCTGTTCTAGCAGCTACTAAAATTCTTCCTTTTGCCTTTTCTTTCCATGGTATATTAATGAATAGATATGCATATGTATGTTTTGTTATGTTCAAAGTGTCTATGTTTTCCATCTGTATGGGTTCTTAAATGTATAAAATGATTAGTATGCATCTCTACTGTTCCTAAATTTGGAAGGTTGCAATCATATTTAATTTTTGGGTCGTTATCCATAGAAGTTTCTTAGGTGGATGTGAACTTTTCCCAATGATACCTATCTTTACTCTGAATTGACAGCTAGAACAATATGAGTATGCTCGGGATACTCTTCTTTCAGGCCTTCAGGTTGATCCTCTTAGGTAATGTATTAATAATATTCCTTTTTCTTTCCTTTTGATAAAATAATTGTGTATTTTATGCTTTCTTTTAAACATTCATTCAGTATAAAAAAAATCAATATAGATTTTCAAGTTGTTCATTGTTTGGTTATGGGATTATGTAGCAATCCTCTTCAAGCCTGTCTTCGGAATTTGGAGAACATGTCAGCTGGTTTAGTCAGCAGGAAGAGAAATGGGAAACCACAACGTACTGATGACTTTGATTGCACACTTTGTTTGAAGTTGTTATATGAACCTATAACAACTCCTTGTGGGCATTCGTTTTGCCGATCGTGTTTATTTCAGTCTATGGACCATGGTAACATTTTCACAGTATTTACTGTTTCTAGTAGGACCATTTCTGTTGCTTTACTGGGCTATTAATCTGATTTTCATATGGAATTGCCAGGTAACAAATGTCCAATGTGTCGGACTGTTTTATTTATTAATCCCAAAACATATTCACTGAGGTAAGTTACTCTAATATTTTAAGAAGAATACTTTTGTTGTGAGGGCAGCATGAGGAGACGTTTCCCCTACCTATGCAGTATCAATGGTGCCCATGCAGTGAGTCCAGGGACAACCATTTGGTGGGTCCACCTAGGTCTCCTAATCTGAAAATCATGGTGATTGAAGAAGCCCTAATTCATATGAAAACCACTATTAATCAGTTTCTGACTGTCAAAATAGTATTATAGCAAAGTGTAATAAGTCAGATCATTTAGGAAATTAGCAAGGTGCTCACCAAAAGTATAACACAAATAGGGAGGATGGCCATTTCCTCTCCTGTATTCTGACTCGAGATTCTTTATAATTTTTTTTCTTGTTTTGAAAATTTGAACTCATAATATCTAAGTATAAGTGTATATATCCTTTCTTGGTTTTCACCAGTGTGACGCTGAACAACATTATACAGAAGAACTTTGCAGAGGAATATGCTGAAAGGAAGTCAGAGCATGAGAATTTGACAAATTTAGGTGTTGATTTGCTGCCTCTCTTTGTCATGGATGTCATCCTCCCATGCCAGAAGTTGTCGCTCAACATATTTGAGCCCCGCTACAGACTTATGGTGAGTTGGCCAATTTGATCATTCTTGATATTTGGCCATTGTAGATCCTGTGAAATAAGTAAGGTTTCAGCCTAAGTTTGTCAAAAAAAAAAAAAAAGAAAAGAAAAACAAAGAAGGAAGATATCAGCTCAGGCATGAAATAGTTCAATGATAGCATCATAATCTGGATGTGTTCTGTGGCTCATCAATGCATACTTTGATGTGTTAGGCCACTCCTTGGACTGGCCATGTTTAAATATATCTCCAACTGTAAGTGCTTAATTATCTGGTTAACAACAAAAAAGTTGTAAAGGTTAGAATGAGATAATGAAAATTGCTACATAGCATATATGCTGAAAGTCTATTCATTGTTTGATTTTTGATTGTTCAAGTCTTGGACTATGAACCACCTAATAAGTTCTCTAACTTGTGAAGCCTAGTGCAAATGCTGCCTTACTTCCCCTTCTTTGCCTAGGGAGTCATTTAACCCATTTGCATTCAGCATTTAGGTCCTTGGCTATCATTTCCACTTCCCTGAAAACATGTTTGAGAATCCATGGGATATGTCCATTACATCTCCTACAAAATAATTACTTTTGAGTCCCCTTCCACCTCCACTTGTCTGAAGCCCAATCGTTTTGCAAACCTAAGCCCCTATAGTAGTGTCAATAATTCAGCCTTCATCAAGTTTGTAGTACCAATTGGCCCTGAATATAATGCTAGTATCCTACTCTCCGAGTTTCTAATTGCACTACCCATTCTTGCCAACCTTGGGTTGTCCAATGATCTCCCATCAAAGTTCAGTTTTACTTTATCACCTACTGGGGGTTTCCATTCCATTCATATTTCTTCTTTTTCCTTAGAGGATTGTTTTACTTCCCTCTAGGTCCTTATAATGTCGGGCATTAAAATTTGTGGAAGTTGTCCATGGTTTTTACCCAAAAAGCTATCTTTACTTTAGTACTATCTAGAACCTCCTCCAAAGTCCTGTTCTTTGCAGAAAAAAATCTGTTATTCCTCTCCTCCTACACCATCTAAACAACTTCTGCCTTAGTACCTCTCCACATTACCCTTTCTCTCTTCTTTGGTTGTCTAAAGAAATTTGGGTTGAAGATGTCCACCACCTCTTGAGGGGGTTCCACTTGCAGTCAAAAAGAGAACAAAAAATTCCCAAATATGGTGTACAAAGTAGAAAGAGATTAATAAGTGAGATAGGGTCTCTTCACTACCCCTACATAAGAAGCACATATGAGGAGAGAGGCAAGAAGAGGAATTGGGGTCTCTAACAAAACACGTCCCAACCCCTACCAACTTGATCTGATGCTACATGTCTCACCATGAGACTGGGAGCCACCAAAAAAGTGGGACCCACCATGTATGAGATGTGCGGTGTCTGATTGTGTTGGTAGGGTGTTGGAACATATTTTGTTGGTAGGTGATTTAGACTCCAAGAAGAAAGCCTTTTTTTGCAGCATATCACAAGTATTTACCTTTTCAAGGAAAATTTCCCAACAAAAGGCTTGAATTTTAGGTGGAATAGGCTTATTCCAAATTTCTTTTATCAGGAAGTCCACCCCTTAAGAGATAGGTGACATAAGAAAATTAAAAAAAGCAGAGCAAGTAAAGAAACCATCTGGTGAATAATACCCAAATTCTAGAATCTTCCAAATTAGGATCCAAAAAAGTTGACTCCAAAATGTCAAGCAGGTCAGTCAAAGAGTTACACTGACTTTCCCTTGGGCCTCTTCTGAAACCAAGGTTTCAATTATTAAGACCTAAAGGGGAGGGTGGGGATGCAAACGGATCGGATCAGATTCAAATCAGGGTATATTCGAATCCGATCTGACATTGTTCATGTTGGATTTGATCCAATCCGAAGATCCGATTGGATCTGATAGGACTTGATTTGAATTCTGATCCGATCCGACTTGTATTCTTTAAAAATTAATAAATTATTAAAAGAAAAATAAAATATAGTAGTTTAAATAAAGTAAAAACAAAAAATACAAGTATTTTTTAATTATTTTCATCACATATATACATGTTTTTATAAATAAATAAATAATATAACAAATTTATAAAAATATAATATAAAAAATATATTTATAAATAAATAACATATATATGTATTATATATATTTATATTTATAAATATATAATATATATCGGATCAGATCTTCTCAGATTGGATAGGGGTGATCCGAATTTGATCAAATAGGACCAGATCTCGGATCGGATCAGATCATGATTCAATCCATTTGCACCCCTAGGGGAGGGTGTACCCAATCTAGAAATGGTTTCATTCTGGAGGTTAGATAGGGCAAAAAGTTCAGGAAACTGATTTTTTAGGGGTATTTCCCCTACCCAAAGGTCTTCCCAAAAATGAATTCTATCATCTCTCCCCACATCAAAATGTATAAAGCTGAGGAAGAGAGGTTATACCTCATGAATTGCTTTCCATGGAGAAGTTGAAGTTGTGTTAGGAGCAATTTTAGCATCCCAACCATTACCCTCCAAGCCATGAATGATTACGGTTACCTTGTGCCACAACCCGTCTCTTTCAGAAGGCAATGTCCATAGCAATGAACATCCCAACAATGCAGTGTTCTTGAGATTGATGTTTCCTAGTCCTAGGCCCTCTTTCTATTTTGGTTTACAAACACGTTGCCATTTTACCAAGTGGTCCTTTTTTCCTCTCTTGGTTCCTAAAGGAAGCTCCTTATATATTTCTCTAGTTGTCTTGCTATTCTAATTGGGATTTGGAATGTGGTAAAGAAGTAAATGGGTAGGTTTGTTAGCATGGATCTAATCAAAGTGATTCTTCATCCTAGAGAAATATAGTTTCTTTTCCAAAGGTCTAATATCTTGGCAAACCTCTCCACCATCGGTTTCCAAAAGCTGTCAGCTCTTGGGTTTCCCCCCAAATGTAGTCCTAGGTAGGTAATAGGCCAGTTCCTAATCTCACAACCCAAAACCTCTGCAAACCTCAGATTTCGCCCTCTTCCAAGTTAATTCCCACAATTCCATTTTTGTTCCAATTGATCCTTAGCCTTGAGATACTCACAAATCTGCCAATCAAAGCCTTTCAAATTTATCACAATTTCCAAGTTAACCCTCTTGCAGAATAGATTTGAATCATCATCAAATTGAAGATGGGATACTACAATTTGATTTCTACCCTCTCCAACCCCGAAGTCCTTGTGTATCCTCATCCACAACCATTCTACTCAACACCTCTGTCACTAAGGTGAAAAGGAAAGGGGATATAGGGTCTCCTTGTCTTATTCCTCTCTTAGATGAGAAGAAGTCTTGAAATTCTTTCTGTACATATCATCAATACACTGTAATTTATATGATCAATTCATGGCCTTGAAAATGTTTAAAAAAACGGGCTTCCATTTTGAGATTCAATCTATAATAATATGAGGATGTCTATGATTAATTGATGTTAATATCTTTTGACATTTCATTTTTTTTTATGGATTCAAATAATGATGATGATAGTAAAATATTGGACCATTTCTTTTGGGATTAGGTATAGTTTTTAATAGAAATAGTAAATAGCTCTTGCCTGTGGTCAACAATAAGTAATTTTGGAGAAAAGCAAATCAGGAAAGTCTCTTTTTTTTGGATAGGTAAAGGATCTTTACATGTGGCATGACCGCATGGGTTAAGCTACTAGTTCTTTCTTATACCTTAGCCATAGATAGCCATGATTTCTGTTCATGTTGAGACACAAATAAAGGGAATAGAGAGACAAGTTTACAAGAAAAGGCCACGTCAGCCTTTTAAGTAATGCAACTGACAACCAACCACTAGAACAAACTAGAAAAGTGGAGAGGCTGATATAACAGAATTGTAACAGAAGTGTTATAAATAAGGAAAGGAAGCCAGAAGAAGAATTATTGATTTTGGGAATACAATCTTTCTCTCTCTCTCTCTCTCTCTTTCATTTTCTCTCTCTCTTGTTCAAGAGGCCGGCTTTCTTCGAAAAAGCCCCTGAGTTAGGCAATTACTAACAAGTTGGTATCAGAACCAAGATGCCAAGCACAAGGTCGTCCGCAATGGAGAACAGGGTCGACAACATGGAAGGAGAAATGCAAAGATTATCGGCTAACGTCAAAGAAATAAAAGAAAGCTTCACATCCTTGCTTGAACAACTGGAATAGACACCACCAGCACCGAATCAGGAAGGGCAGGAAGAACGCAGTGACACTAGTCATCGAAGTGGACCAAGAACGGCGAGAATCGAGTTTCCCGTCTTCGCAGGGGGAGATCCCACGTCCTGGCTTCTACGAACTGAAAGGTACTTCGATTACCATAATACGCAGGGACCTGATCGTGTTCCATTAGCTTCCGCACACCTGGAAGGAGAGGCAATCGTCTGGTACCAGTGGTACCGACAACGACATCCAAGAGCCACATGGGTGGATTTCACCGATGCCTTAACCATGAGATTTGGAGGCTCGACTTTTGAAAACTATGATGAAAGCCTCGCAAAGCTACGACAGACCGGCTCTGTCCAAGATTATCAGATGGCATTCGAAAGGTTAGCTGTGTGCGTGCAAGGGTGGTCAAAAAACGCACTTGTCGGCAGTTTTGTTGGTGGACTCAAGGAAGAATTGCGGCTAGAGGTGAAAGCCATGCAACCCACCATCGTTCTTGACGCAGCAGCCTTAGCTCGACTCATTGAAGACAAACTGAACTGGGCAAGAAGGATTAATCAACCTTTGGGAGCTGTGGTCAGACCAGGTATACTGAATCCAGAACCGGGTATCTTGGGTAAACCGGAGTCCAGACCAGGAGTAGGAATCACAAGCAAGGACGCTGGTTCAGGCCCCGGCTCAGCCAAGAGGTTAACCTAGGTTGAGATGCAAGCTCGACATGAAAAGGGCCTCTGTTATGCATGTGGAGACAAATTCGGACCAGGTCATCGTTGTAAGATCCTGCAAGTATTCTTCCTTTAGCCTGAGACTAAAAACGTCGAGCAATCAGCAGACATTGACGAACCAGCAGACAAC